CTACCCATCATCCTATGCTAAAAATATGGTTATAAATTTGGGACTTTACTCCAATAACAGACTGAGGTGTCTGACTGACATCTGACTTGAATACAGGATCACCTTGGAGAAGCTGGGCTCTGAGGTCACTGCTGCTTTGCAATAACAGCAGAGGTAATGGAGACCACTGCTGGCTAAATAAAAAGGCTGTAACTTCATACAAAATTCCATCTTTCCTATTATGTTCCACTGGGACAGTTCATCTTAAATGAAAGTCTGGAGTCGCTGAACCACAATTCTGGCTCCTTTTGTTGGAATCGTTAAATAGTATTACTTTTGGCAGACTCTGAATAGTTTCTCTCTTCTCTGCCTGTTTGCTCTGATAATCATAAACATTGATTTTTGTTTCCGTAGCTCTTGGATATTGACTTGTTTGATGTGATTTAAACTAATAATCTCAGCCAGTCAGAAAACAATAGGGAATATTGCCTCTCTTTTTTTTTTCTCAACATTTTGGAGAAGGGAGTGTTGTAACTTTCCAGGAAATTAGCATCTTTGTTTATTGCTAGAAATCTTCTTGCAATATTTAGATTTCCTAGTATCTCACTAATTATATATTTAACTGCTACAGCACCCAACCTCTTACATTTTGCCCATGTGTTTTCAATAGTAAGGTGCCGGTCGTGTTACCCATAATATTTCCTGCCAAGCACATTAGTTAGTTGGAATAATTGAAGTATGTAGAGTGGGTGCTCTGAGTCCAGCCCAAGCAACCAGGTTACTTCTACAGGGGATACAAGAACCAAGGCAGAGTGCCAAGATGAAGTAGCAAGCTCCTACCCTAGTTAGTGTTACAACAAAGGCTTTCTTTTAAGATTTAGCTCTTTCTGCTGGAAGCAAAGCTTCATATTTTAAATTAAAACATAATTTATCGGTGGGGGGGGCAAGACACACCTCTGAATAGGAAGATTTGAGTTTCGGCTGGCCTTATTAATGATAAGGCTTTCTATCTCTAAATTTCTCCTACATTCTGGTCGTCTGAAAGAATTTAAATTCTTTAAGCTTCGCCAAATCGTGCAGTTTAAGAAGGTAAGCATTGCATAATATCTGAGCCACTTTTTCTCTTCCATCTTTCAGGATGTTTGATGTTGGTGGCCAGCGATCAGAAAGAAAGAAATGGATCCACTGCTTTGAAGGTGTGACAGCTATTATATTCTGTGTAGCCCTCAGTGATTATGACCTTGTCCTTGCTGAGGATGAAGAAATGGTACGTTCCTTTAGAATTATTAACATGCGGCTGCATCCTGCAGTGAGATAATTGAGGTGGAAGTTAGTTTCAAGCTGCTGTAGACTGTATTCAGTGTAAAGACCTATCAACATAATATTCTTTGTGCTCTGTTTGGGATGCTGAGAGAGCAGTGTGTCTCGTAAGAGGTCTGGCCATAGCACCACAAGTTTAATAATAAACTAGCGGGAATTGATGTCTTTCTCCTCAACTTCCTAAAAAAAAAAAACAAACCCCAAAACATTCTGATTGTGTGATTGCTGTTATTGCTGCTTGTTTTGTTAAGCACTAGTGCATCTCTTGGACTGGAAGAAAAGCTGACCCTAGTAAAAGGTTATGGGATGGTAAATGGACAAGAAAATTAAAGTGAATGGGGATTGGACCTTCTCTGATCTGACCACTAGTTACGACCAGAGACAACATAAATTTCCTGATCTTCCCTTGTATGACACTTTGTTATCAGTTTTAATAGATTTATAGCTGGAAGGGACCTCAAGAGATCATTGGATAGTTTAGCTATCATGTTTTGTATTTTTAAGGCCAATGGCTTTCTTCTAAATATAATCAAACAACCCACCTTTCCCAAGTGACTGCTGGAATGATGCACTTTTTCTCTCGATTACTTTTTAGAACCGGATGCATGAGAGCATGAAGCTGTTTGATAGCATTTGTAACAACAAGTGGTTTACGGACACTTCCATCATCCTCTTCCTCAACAAGAAAGACCTGTTTGAGGAAAAGATTAAGAAGAGCCCACTAACAATCTGCTACCCAGAGTACACAGGTAATGCTGGGGTCAGGGGTGAACTCAGTCTTGTGCTGATCCGTTGGAAGGAACACTTCAGATCACTCTGATTTTAGAAGGAGTATGGGCTTGTCCACCTGTGGCAAAGTTAGAACTAGGTCTTCTCCTCCTGGTTCTGTTGAGCTACTGTCCACGTGTTTCTTTGGCTGGAAGCACATTTGGAAAATGTGAGGTTTTTCTGCATCTTGGGTCCTTATAAGGAAAGTCTTTTACCTCCATATCAGTACTGAAGGTATTATAAAAGATGTCTAGATAGGTTGAACACTAGATAACTCATATGCATTAGCAAACACAGCCCCCCTTGCATTAGAGCACATATTACATCTGTACTCCAAAAGCATAGGTAGAACATCTTCACTAGTGTGGCTGGTAGGCCGTCTCTCTCTCTTAAAAATAAAAATAATAACAAGGTCATTTAAAGGGAATTTCCCCCCTTCTCTTTGCTACTTGTGTTTTGGGCTTTTTTGCCTTCCTCAGAAACATTGGGGTTAGCCCCAGTTAAGGTTGGAGATTTGACTGGGATGTGCCAGTGTTCTTGCTGGGAGTTAAACCCCTGGTAGGGGTACATCAATAGATTTCTTTTGGACCAGTACTAGTGGCTGGTTTTTTTTTTTGTTGTTTTTTGTTTTTTAAAGCCATATCGGCTGATACTGATCTGATTGCTGACTTATGCAGCCGGGCAGCTTGGAGAGCATTGTCTGGCTGGTAAGTCTGTTGTGGAGGAAGGGGCGTAGGGAGGTGCAGGTTGAGGCCCCTGCAGTGAGGGAGGGAGAAGGGCAGGTGCTGCACAGCTGGGGCAGAGTGGGACAGCTGTGAGCAGCTTGTCTGGGGGGTACAGGGAGGGGTAGTGACCCCACCACTGTATGCACCCTGGGAGGGCAAGGGGAATGTGTCCCCAGATGTGTGCATGAGGCAAGGGTGGGCTGGGGCCAGGGTGGCGCCATGCTCTTCCTGATAAGGGGCTGGACTGGGCTGCACCTGGAGATTTTAGCAGGGAACAGCAATAGTTCTCTTCCGTGGATCTCTTGAGGGTATTTTAACAAATTACTTCCTGTCTTTGTAATGGCAGAACACTGACAGTGGCCTTGTCCCTTGTGCTTTACCTGCAGCAAGTTAAAGGGTGTTTTTAATGTTGCCAGGATTGTGCCTGGTGGCTGTGAGGGTTGTTCACAAAGTGTATAACAGATTAGATGAGAGCCTGTCTGGTACCATCAGGAGAGGGGTGATCCTGCCTTGAGTAAGAGGTTGAACCTTGCAACCCTTCTTTTGCATAGTTCTGTCATCTGCTATCTGATCAAATTGTGTATTCATAGCCCAAATGATTAAGACCTCTTTAGATTCATTCACTCCTGTCAGTTGTTTCTACTCCCAATTGAGCGTTGTAGGCGTTTGTGTATTTCTAGCATGATGCTTTATTATCAATAATTTTATACAGTGTTTCATCAGTAGATTTCGGAGCTCTTTGTGAAGATGGTAAGTGTCATGATCCCTATCTTACAGATGAGGAAACTAAGACGGAAGTTTTAAAATGACTTGCCCAGGGTCACACAGGAAGCCAGTGACAGAGATGGGGAGATCATTTGGCCTTTAAAAAGGGCTAAAGTTGAATTTGTAGCTTCTTACAGCCATGCCTTCTCCTTCAAGCAGAAATGAAGCCAGACATTTTTAGATGTATATAAGCTTTCTACTGCAAACATGTAGCTAAAGTAAGGTATCTTTTATGTTCCAGGCTCTAATACGTACGAAGAGGCAGCTGCATACATTCAGTGTCAGTTTGAGGATCTGAACAGAAGAAAAGACACCAAGGAAATTTATACCCACTTCACGTGTGCCACTGATACCAAGAATGTGCAGTTCGTGTTTGATGCTGTTACTGATGTTATCATTAAGAACAACCTGAAAGAATGTGGACTCTATTAAGAGGACATGGTGGGGGAAAAGGTAAAATGCTGAACTGTCTGGCTGCTCTGAGCAATAGACTCACACTTGCAACTCAGTCTTTTTTGACACGTGCTTTCATTAATGCTCAGTGTTCTTCTTTCAGTTTTTATGATGTGGCGTTTTGAAAACCAGACTGTTCCCCTGCTGCCTCATGGGACAGCTGCAAGCATGAACAGGACCAAGGGAATGAAAACAGCATGCAGAATCCTTGCATTCTTTAGCACAATCTTCTGTATTAGGGACCTTTTTATCGATATGGGATGTTGAAGATATCAAAACGGAACAACTGTTAAGTGTGATTTGATCATTCAGGCATCAGTCGGATTGCATAATCTTAAATGTGCACAGCTGTTGTGAAGCTGAGGTGCTGGATTCCAGAACTTCAGTATGTAGCTTTCTCTTTCTTTGATTAACAAGCCACCACTAGTCTGTTTTTAAGGTTTTTCCATCAGATATATATAATATATGTATATAAACTTTACTAAATTTTATTTCTTTATTTGCAAATGAATTTTGTTTTAAGAAAACATAAGGAAAAAAAAACACTTAACTATGCACATGATGTGACCAGATCATGCAGAAAGTATTCCTCTTAGTAGGAACTCTTTGTTTTTAACACTTGGTATGGTCAGAATTTAATATTTCTGCAACTACTTAAAAGATCTGTAGCGCTCTTCTGGCTATAGCTTTGGCTTCTGATGTGTAATTTGTTTTCACCCTGCTGCAAATATGTTCTGGCTCTGAAAAGAAGTGACAGAACTTTCTGTAGCAGGATAAGTCCTTTTTAGCTTATGTTTGGGGATTAACTTGGTTTATGCTGATTTACCAAATCGAGATTTGAGCCCCTGTAGTAAGATTCAAGCCAGCTTCTTGGGTGAAGACGTACCTGGGACAACTTCAGTTGGAGAAACAAATTACTATATTCCAAACTGGATGGAGTGTGCGTGCTGCTACCAAGCTACTAAATCAACCACTTGGATTCTTGTGCGGTTTTTTTGGTCTAAACCAGTGGGGAATTCTGTAAAAGATGCACCTTTGTTCTGCATTTACCATGGCCTTTTATGTTCAGAGACTTTTAAACTGTATTGATAGCATGCTTTACTTTGTAAATGTTGTGCCAAAATTCCTGTTTGCCATTTGGTTTTTATTGTAGTAATGTTCTTAACCAGTCGGCACATTCCTTTGCTGAAACCATTGCATTATGAGACTCGTTTTCCCAATTTGTCACGTGTACAGTTTCAACCTGTTAGTTGTTGGCAGTATTAAAATTGTGAGTAAACAGTTAATTTTTCCTAATTTATTCTTGACATTCTGGAAATGTTCTTCCATACTGCTCACTTCACTTGTTTTTTGCAAGCTGACTGAAGGCAAGAGGGGCAGCCAGTTGCAAATGCACTTAGTAGGCTAGGCAGAGGGTAGCCTGACCCTTTTTAAATACAAAAGTATTGGAGCCACTACTGTCTTGCACTGTGCAGCCTTCTTTTACCATGGGGATTTGGTTTTATGGGCACAGGTATCATTCATCAGATTTGCTGACTGTAGTTTAGTCTGTTGCTCATTTACAGCCAGAGACATAGTCTGAAATCGGGCAGAGGCCAAGGCAGGGTGCCGCCTTTAAAAACCAACTGAATGAGCGAGTGCAGTTCATAGCCAGTGTCACTTCATCAACTGAAAGCATTAAGAAAAGAAAGAACGCGCTAGAAGTCCATTAAAGTAAGTGGAGACGAGCCAACTTGCAGTATGCCTGTCATGGTAGTGGTACTATACTTTTAGACAATGTTTTAAACTCCTTAAGAGAGATCCTTGGTAGGCAAATGCCATATTCTTTGCTAGGGATAACAGTCGTAATGTGTAACACCATTTGTTAGGTCCGGACAGCTCCTTCACAAGTAACTGTCAGCTACTGAAGTGTGAAACGCTCGCCTTTTAACCAGATCGTCTAGGCTGTACTGCAGATTCACAGTGATACTTGGAGTTGCTTAGTCAGCTTCTGAAACATAAATGTGCCCTCATCCCTTCAGTGGCACTGTATGCCCAAATTGTGCTACTTGATGCCACAAGAGTCTCAACACTTATTTTTTCTCATTAGTTTGGGTGGGACTGAAGGGTGTTTGGCACCTATCAGCATCAGGCTATTAAAAATTAACTGCTTCATAGAATCAAGAGAGGAAGCTGACTGTGGCATGCATGCTATCATCCAGGTCTGCAGCAATTAGGTCTGCAGTTTGAACACACTGTATGCGTTGGGTTTGTTCTATAGCCACCCTGCCTGCCAGCTTGACTTCATTGAAGATCTGTATGTGCAGGTGCTATGGAAATAAGTGTAAAATGTAGAACATAAGTAAAAATAGCACAGAGGAAGCTTGCCCTGAGTTAGGTTTTGGGAGTCAAGAATGACACAGGAAGGAAACGCTTTAAGAAATGAAACGTTAAAGCAGAACAAATGACCCATTCACTTCATGCACATTTCTTTTTATTTTGGCTTTGCTACAGTTTCTAAGTGAAGCTCCGTACGTGACTTCTGCAATGCACACTGAGAAGATACAAGACTTTGTCTACAGTGATAGCATAGGTTTATTTACATATGATAAAGAGCAGACAACTTTAAATAGCAGAATGAGAATCTTTTCGAGTACTGTAACTATTTTTTGTCTCTGGCATCCAGCCTGCTCCTTCTGATTTCTTGCTGTGAAATGTTTCCTTAAATCCTAATAAATCCAATACTATTTCTTAAAAGTTCTTCTGATCTTCTAGGCTAGAGATCAGTGAGGCATCATGAGCAACAGTCTCTGAAGCAAAGAGCAGATGTAGCAGTGAGAGGATTGGTATTGCTAGGCTATATGGGCAAGCCTGTTTGAGTTTGGAAGGTTTGGGAGTGAAATGGGTCAAGGTTCCAGGCTATTTGTACATAGAGATAGTTGGATAGTAGAAGCAGTCAATCAGCTCCTTAAGGCTGTGGGGAGAAATTCCACCAGTTTCAGGGATCTGCACATTAACTTTCTCCAGTGGAAGGTTTGAACATTTCAAATAAGTATTGGGACTTATTTACAACTAGTAAACTTGCTGCTTTTTAACGCGTAAGGGAAGATGTTAATTATCTTGAACGTAAATGGATTCAGATCTCCACATTCAGGAATTACTTTTAGGTCAGATCACTCACAAATTTGTTTTAATGGCTTCCCCCATCTTTATAGGTGTGGGTTTTCTCTGGGATTCCACCAAAGGATTGGTTTCACTTTTTTTTCATGTTAGGTCTGTAGTGCCTTTTTAGATGCAGCTGTGTTGACATGTGCTGTTCTGGTATCTCTTCCCCATTTGGTGTGCCAAAAACTGCGCTGTCAAGTGTCAGATCACACTGGATTGCTGCGGGCTCTCTCTTTAAAGTGTGCAAACTGAAGAGAGTTTTTAAAAACAATAATAGAGGAGGAAATTACCCTGGCAGACAGCTGGGTGGCAGGAAGTTTAGCTGTGCCTTTCTGGGCAGGGCTTGTTCTTCGAAGTGCATGCTTTGCATGCTGGGTAGGTCTTAGAAAAATTTTGCCCTAAGTAGCTTTTGCTCACTCTGGCTCTGCTCAGCAGAACAATGATGCTATATAGAAGTCATTTTCTTTGCTGCTGGAAGGTGAAGTGGAAAGGGAAAATGGTGTTAAATACTTCAACATTACAAGGGCTTGAATGTTTTTAGATAGGTCACGTACAAATGCAGAGGATCAGTACTGGAGAATCTCACCAGGCAGTAGCAAACTATGTGATGCAGTGGTGGCGGGAAACATTCGAACTAGTCTTCTCCATTTAATCCAGGGCTGGGCAAAGTCCATCCGGTGGGCTGGATCAGGCCCATGGTGGCCTCCATTTCCCAGCAGCTCCTGCCCTCATCACTGGCCGGTTTCCATGGAGACCCCAGGAGTGGTACATCAGTGATAGCATGGGGCCAGGGTTTCCATAGAGACTGGCCACAGCAGTGCTGGCAGCATGTGTGGCAGGGCAGGGAGCTGCTCCTGGGCTGGGATCCTGCCATGGTGACAGTGGTGCAGAGCTGCCATCTGTGGCCCACGTACCCTAGGCAGAAGCATGCAGGCAGCGGATCACAGCTCTGCCTTGGTCCCAGACCACGCTGGCACTGCTGCAAGATCCCCAGAGTAGCTCCATGCCCTGCCAGGGCCTGGTCTCCATGGAAACTGTGGCCCCATGCTGTCAGGGTCCCACAGCTACCGGAGGTCTCCATGGAAACTGGCCATGGAAACTGGCCGCAATGACATGGACAGGGACTGCTGGGAAATGGAGTCTGGCCACTGGCCAGAGCTGCTGTTTTGCCCCGCCTCCCTGGGTCTAATCAGACTAGCATAGAATTACCTTTTTCTAGTGCTTGCAACCCTAGTATGGTGCTAGACCTGATCTCGAGCTGCTGCCTTAATGCAATATCTTTCTTCATGCTCAGAGCAGGTTTTTCCCTTGCTCAGAAACTGCTGTTTGTAATGGGAAGACTTTTGCTGGCAGCAGACAATGCAGAGGTTAAAACAGTGGCTTTGCCCCTCTGCCCTCAGGTGCATTTAACTGCAAGCTGCTTCATGCTGGCAGAGAAGCTGGCTGCCTGCCTCTGTTTTCCTGTTCCCGTTCACAGAGAATGAAAGCTCCAGTGTTGCTCACTTTGGGAGCTGTGCTATTGGAAGATGCTGGCTGCATGTGATTTTTTTGAAGGTGGGGGTGGGAAGAGAATAACGGTGCTGCATTTTGCACAGGGAGCTGGCAGACGCATATATCATAGCATTTGTTTTGTCATTAGCTCATTACTGTGGTTCATCAACCAACTCATAGTGGCTAGTAGAAAGGCCAGCTAAAGCAGAACACTGCAGAGACCACTTGTTCCCTATCCACACTGGCAACTTATCTGTGTTAGCTGCTGTTCATATGCTATCGCTAGCCAGGATTGTGTATCACTTTTCCTGGCCAGTGACATTTATGGAGCACGTTCTAAGATTGTTGCCAATCCTAAAAGCAGTGAATTGCTTTTACAGTGAATTGTTCATGCAGCAACATTTATTGTGTTATGGCAGCATAACACCATATTATAATACAGTTTGATCTTGTTTGCAGTGCACAGAGCTGGGTGTCTTTTGTAATTGGGTATGCCGGCACAGGCTTTGTAATACAGTGACTGGCTTTGTAATACAGTGCCTTAAGGTACCAAACTTTTCTGCTTCCTAAATGGATCCTATGGTTCCTGATAGTATAAAGGTTTCACACCCCCCCCCCCCCAAATCTCTAAGGGGCTGAATGGAAATGTTTTAATGGTGCCAGCAAAGTTTTAAACAGTTTGTGCCATGTTTCCTGAACCAGGTGTCTGGGACTTGTAACCCTTCCCATATAGTTGAGTAGAGCAAGGTACGGACAAGATGGGAGGGCTGTCTTGGTAAGAAAAAGGGATAGCCAGTGGTTTAATGGCAATATTGCTCTTATTGCCCAAGGAAACAGCAGAGCTTTTCAAGGCCTGGGGAGAGATCTTAAGAGTTGTCACCCTCCCACCACAAATCCCTTTTGGTGACAACGTGTCTAGCTTTCTTGTAACTTGCCACTGGATTTTTTTTTAAAGGTCTGTTTGAAACGATAGTACCTGCCAAAGCTGATTTAGAAGAGTCCGCAATCTTTGAGGTTTTCCTTGATAATGACATCCGTGACTGCGTCAAACACAAATTTGACGTTCTGTGTGTCTGTGGCACATGTCATATGGCTGTAGACTTCTTTCACATCTCTTCGCATGTTCAAATCAAGAAACTGAATCTTGATGTAATTTCCTGCATCATCATATGTGTTGGAACCTGTTTTTGGAGAGGAAGTAACTACTGGTATGTGCCACTGATTAGGAACGTTGCACTGTTTAGAAACTCATAGCCCTGTGTAATTATGCAAGTGTTCTTACCCAGCTGAAGAAATGTAAGGTTTTGCCATTTGTTGCTTAGCTCCTGATTTAAGAAAACTAAACACTCTTTGAAGAGGTCTGGAATGAAAGCTGTGGCTACTGAAATGCATTCTCTACACAGAGGTACCTAAGAGCCAGCAGAAGCTGCCTTTTGGTAGTGTTTCATCTTTGGTACCAGCCTTCCCAAACAGCCTCCAAGTCGTCATGTTTAACATGAATTTTATGCTTTCCCCGTTTGCAAGCCCAGTGAAATTTTAAGTCATGTGGCCAGTTGAACCCAAGAAAATATTGGGAGTCATGGCACCCTTGAGTCTTCCTACCAGTTATCAATGATTCTTTCTACCACCATCTTAGAGTTTTAGATGACACTTAGGCACAGGCCTTTTTCTTTGCAAATTACCATGGCCATGAAGGGGCACACAGAATCATTAGAACTCACCATCATAATCTGGAAAGCAGATGCTGAGATGTACTTTCTTGATCTTTTCCTCAAAGAGGTCCTTCTTGTTAAGGAACAAAATAATAGAAGTGGTAGCAAAGAACTTGTGGTTGCAAATACTGTTGAACAGATGTAGGGATTCATGCATGCGGTTCTGAAGATGGACAAAAAGATCATTTTAATCTTCGGTGACACATCTGCTCTTAAAGCCCCTGTTCGTTCTGGCTTTAAAAAATAGAAACGGTTATTCATCTAGTTAAAACACATCATGAAAGTATTTCCTCTCTGTAAAGCATCAAGCATGTTGATCTCTGTAGGTTCAAACGATCAAATCTCTGGCTTTGTCCTAAAGCAGATGGATGCTAGACAAAAGCCGTTTCCTGTGCTACCAACTATACTTGCAGTCTCCACACTGTTTTACAGTTGTAGATGAGAAGATGGTGCTTTAACACATCTGTTTATAATGCTGAAGCCTTTGCTAGTCCTAAAAGCAGTTATCTATCTGCTGTTTTGTTAGTAGCCCAGTTCGTAAGTCTAAGTAATCTGCTAGGTGGGCTTCCACTCACTGAATGAAAAAAATATCCCTAATAGCCTGGCTTCTGTAAGCTTTGTGGTACAAATGCAACTGGTCTCTAATACTAGATGATGCTGGAGCATGAAGAGGAGCCAGGACATTACATTAATGAGACTGTATCTTAAGCAAGGACTCTGTGTTCTGGGGTCTGGTTTATGATGCTTCTAATGAAGCTCTCTAGAGAATGGCTCCCAAGCTGTATTTCAGGAGGCTGTGGTGGGTAGCGTATGGATTGCACCCCTCCCTTTTCATTTAAGAGAAGAGAGTACATGATGATCTGTGAAAATGACCTTCACATTCCTCCTAAGCTGTTTTTTTTTTTTCTTCTGAGGTGATTAGTACTGCTGGGAAACCTCCCAAGTTAATTCTTCTATGAGAGGCAGAGAAGCAAGTGCCTGTTTGGAGGATGGTAATATCTGCAATACAGGAGGGTTGCTGTATTAGCTGTCTTAATACAGCCTGTACAAGCTGTATTAGCGACTAATTAGCTGTCCTGGAAAGCAGTGCTGATTGCAGAGAGGGAGGGGAGAGACAGAGACAACCTTTTACCAGTTTCTGCCTGGTCACTGTTGGCTTTCTCTGCTCTTCACCCTCCTTTCTCCTGTTTTCAGAGAGAGGCTGAGAGCATCTGTGGAGCCCGAGTCCTGCCTGATTGCCAGCGTCAAAAATATTCCCTGCTGACTGCACTCTTGTAGCTTTGCTCTGGTGTTTTGGTGTTATTTGCACACACAAAGGATGTTCTAGTGAGACTCTTATTCAACAAACCTGGGGGCTGAGCTGGGGATAAGTCTCTCTCCCTCCTTCCCTCAGATTGGAACTGAATTAGTGACATATTTACTCACATGCCACACACCTTTGCCCCCCTCCCTAAATTCATCTTCTCAAATTGAGGGGTGTGTTTTAAGTGTGGAAGCTGATGTCTGCACCAGTGTGAATGCATGGGGACTCTGGAATGGCTGTTGAGAGCTGGCTCTGTGCTGGGCTCCAGCTACATGTATAGAGGGGGCAGAGTCATCTCTTCTCCATCTCTTACTCTTGCTTTGCAAGCTCTGCAGCTCAAGCTTTAACTCCATCAAGGCCATTGCCAAATTGGCAGCAGCTTTCCTACATTTTCAAAACAAGGTATGTCTCTAACTGGGGGGCACATGGTAGGTGAAGAAATAAGGTAGACACTGCAAGAATGAGTCTATAGAATCACAGAAGTTGGGTCAGAAGGGACCTTGTAGATCTTCAAGTCCGACCCCTGCCTGGGCAGGAGAAAAAACTGGGCTCAAATGACTCCAGCCAGGTAGGCATCAAGTCTCCTCTTAAAGACCCCCAGGGTAGGAGCCAGCACCAT